TGCTGCTGATTTTATTGTCGGCGGATCCTAAGTGGTGGTGAGCGTTCTTTAATTGTGGCCATAAATCAGCCGTCCAGGCACAAAAATCTCTACAAAGGAGAGAGAGAGAGAGAGAAAGAGAGAGAGGGAGGAACTGTCCACACTGAACACTGAGTTCACCCGAGGCTCACAGACCCCCGCGAGACGAGGATGTGGCCTCGCCAAAGACAGCAGTCATCGCAATCAAAACCTCCTCTTTTCTCGAGAATATGCGGATGACCTCCTCCCAGAGTCCTCACCACATCCTGCATCTTTGTCCCTGAATCTGACAAAAATGGAAGGTCTACGTCTCCCCACAAGTAGGTGTCACCATGGAAACAACCGTTATTCAGTGCTCTCAACAATAGCCGTTAAATGAAAGGAGCTGTCTGATGGAATTAAAGAGTAGGCTCAGTCCCCTCTTTCCATGCAAAGTACTCGCGGCATCAGCAAACTACACAAGGCAAATGTGTGCATGATAGCAGAACCTACATTTCATCAGGCACATCAATATCGCTTTCTCATCCCTCTTCATTCAGCAGCGAGAAAGTGTTTCGTGAGCTGATCACTGAAATGAGTGGGTAAGATCAGAGGAAAAAAAAAAAGCAGACGGATGGATGCACATTCAATTCTGGAATATGTATTTTTGGCAAACAAAAAATAAAATAATTACAACTTGACGAATTACAGCGAGAAACCACAAAGACAGTTTCAGTTTAAATGATGAGGTTTATTTTCCTAACTGCAAGACAGGGAGCGTAAACTACAGGAACAGAGGTTTTGTGCAAATGCAGGCTTGCATATTAGCATATCATAAAATCCAAAAGGAATGACTGCACAGCACAGCTTAACAATAAAAGTAAGCATGCAATAAAATCCCTTCGTCCATTTGAGGAAATCAAATATTTCCTAATGATGCATGGGTTGCTTCTTACCCACACGGCCTGCAGATACACCAGTTGCATATCAGGGTTATGAATGAAAGACGAGAGAGAGAGAAAGAAAATGAGTGTGTGTGTGTGTGTGTGTGTGTGTGTGTGTGTTTGGGAAATTTCAAATATTTGTTCCTTCTTGTTAACTGTGTATGAATAGATAAGAGCGAATTAGAGGCTCAGCGTATTCTTCAAGATGCCCACATGAACTGTGGTCTTTCTCGTCTCCTGTGTCTCACCTCGCTGTTATTTGCACCACCGTGGCACAAAAGATAGATCCCCATTACAATATGAATGTCGGCTATTTTCTCATGAATGTGTTTGGAGCTTAGACGACGCCACAGAACTGCGCACTTGGGTTCATCTGACGCCTGCACACGAGCACACGATACGCTCTGACGGCTTGTGACTGACTGCAATGAAACTCGGAGCATGAATGACAAATATAAAGGATGTGAAATCATTTCCAAACGAGGGTCTGAGGAGTTTGGTTTGTTTGAGCAAATCTGGCGAGGCGTCACAGACCCATGCATCACTGGTTAACTAGCATATAACATGAAGTACATTTTGTAATTCAGGAGGAGCAAGAAACATCCGCACTGTTGTTTTTAAAATAAGAAAACACCATTGCTTATAAGGAATAACATTTAGCATGTTATGTGGTCAATCATCTGTCAGTTGTAAAATCACATCGCATAGAAATGTTGCGCGTACAGGATAACGAACCATTAGAGCTGCTGCGGCTGATAACCTGAGGCAAAGTAGCAGGAAGGTGATGCAGGTAATCGGGAACAAAGAGTGTTTTGCCGTGTAAGGCACAAATCACGGAGGGAGCGCTGAGGCCTTTTAGATATTAATATGGGAGCTCGTTTGCCCTCAAGGAACAAAAAAATTGGTTGTTATCTGCACTTCCTGTGTTGTTAAGCAGGAATAGATAGCAAGTAAAGATTTCCGAGAAAGATGGAGGCTTTCAAAACGGTAGTATTTTCTAAGAATGGTGAATTTTTGCACTTCTTGGGAAGGTAAGGAATCTGGAGCGCATTAAGATGCATGAAGACAAAAACAAATAACCCACCATACAGAAAACGACATGGTTTCTCAATACATAACCCATAACGCCAGGTGCTGTTAAACCCAGCAGAGGATTTCCTAATTTCTTTTTTTTGCATCCATTCCTACCCCGCTGTAAACCAGCCACGTGGAACTGAGCTTCAGTTGTGAGACCAAACTCCCTCCAGGATTATTTACATTCGAGTAACTGAGTATGGCTCCAGATCTAGGCCTGCCGAATCAATAGGCCTCATCCTGTGATCCACAGTGGCAGAAGAATCCTCAATAGTTGATCTTCAAAGGAGTTCAGAGAGCAGCCGACAGCAGAGGTAGCTGTGTTTAGGTGCATTCACGAGAAGTCAATAGTCTGTATCTGGGGAGGGCTGGTTAGGCTCTGGAGGACAAATCAAAGTCAGATTATCATTTGTAGCCCGGGGTGGATATATGTATGCTAGAGAAGCTGTAAAGACTATACTGATTCATCCTGTGCATTTAATGGCAGTGACAGCTTGGTTTGCGGACAAGTGAGTTAGTCACCACTCAGAGCCGCCGCGTAAGAGAAAAGCCAAAACACTGAGCAAATACACAAAGCACAGCGTCATCACAGGAACAGACGCCACATAATGAACTATTCAGCCCAACAGTATTGTTGTTTATATTCGACGGCGTGCAGCTCGGTTTGAAAGCACTGAAAAAAACGATCAGCGCTACTGTGAGCGATAATGTTAAAGCATTACTCATCAGATGTGAAACTTTTAGAGAAAATAACACTTTCTTTGGACCTTAGACCTGAATCGGTGTAGAATATTAGTTTTTGAACAAGAAAGTCCACAAGCAATCAAAAACAAAGGGGAACAAAACAAGAAATAAAACTGTCATATAACTTTTGTTTCATGTTTAATTCAATCATCAGCTGAAATAATTGTGTTAAAAAGTGAAGTCGTCTAAACTTTTGAGGTGAAATCTGTATTTCACAAAGGGCTTTGCTTGATGAAAGAAAGAAAACATTTTGTTTTTCAGCCGTCAAGGTTCCTCACACAATGAGGAAAAATCTTTAAATGTCAAGAAAATGTTTTTTGAAAGCTGCCAACGTGGCCTCTTCACCGCTTTTGTTTGGCTTCTTCTGCGCTCCTTAAAAAATGTAATTACATGTAACTTGAACACAATCTCTGGTTCCTTTTTAGTGAGACGCCGGCATTCAGACGGGTATTTACAGCGAGAGACGGCACCTGGGTTTTCTGCTGTAAAGACTCATTTACAGTCGGAGGTCGTGCCTTAACCACCGCAGCATTAATACGTTCCTTTGGCCAAAACATCTCTGAATTACAGGCAAAACTTTGAACACTACGATCTGACGCGGCCCTGACATGGAGGGTAAAAAAAATGAAGGTCTCTGAATGTGATGAACATTTTAAAGCTCCACAGCAAAGCAAAAAAACAGTGATCCCTATTTAGGTTTTCATAAATAGTGCTCCTTTTTATTTCTTTAATCATTCTGATGTAAATGTAATGAACGTTGTGTTTTCCTGAACCTCTCTTCGGTTAAATTTCATTTTAAACATTGAGTAGATTTATATTGCATATTAAAAAAAAATAAATCAAAACAGCAGCAAAAAGAAAATTGACATACATCTTAAAATAAAAAATTACTTCATAAACAAGTTCTACCGGTGTGATGACTGGCTCGGGGATGACGACGACGGTAACGGACAATTCAGCAGCGGGGAAGGTTTCATCTGACACAAAGCATGATTTTCACAGCTTACACCATAGCCACTTGACAACAGACCGAAAATAGGGTGCGATCATTGATAATCTCTTTGAGAAAAATGTTATTCCAGCTTACAGCTAACAGCAGAAAAAGGCAGCCCTTTACAACCGTATGCTACACAGCAACCCATCTTCCACTTCAACCTGCAAGCTCCTGACCCCACTGTGTTTTCTCACTGTGACTGTTTAGCTCCCTGTTGTAAATAAAAAAAAAACAAACATACAAAGAGCTGAAGCTTATATCAAATATCGCAGACTGCTCGAGTTACTTTGTCACTTTATGCTGTACAGATATTCAAGGGGGAGCCGAGGTTATGACACGTGAAAGCTGAACGAGGGCGTTTCCAGTGCTGCTGCTGCTGCTGCTGCCAGGAAATTAATTTAGAGAGAAAATATGGATTTGGCAACCTGTAACTTCACACAATCACATGCGGCTGTCATTGTTCCTGTATTTGCTGTGGGAGGGGTGGTGTCATTCACAGTTCTTGCAGATCCAATAAGGGCTGACAGCATCTGGTGCACTCTGGACCAAAGATTTTAGCAACAGATAAATACAACTTTACAGGGAAAACGAAGCTTGTCCCACTGTCAGCGAATGGTAGGTTGATTTGGATTTACAATATCGGGAAAATATTGTTCATATTTCAAACACAGACACAGGGAAGTTCAATTTACAGAATTATAAATACAGCATCTTCTGTATTTCATTTGCTTAAATGTTTTTTAATGTTGGTCAAATATTGTGAAGTCAAACAATCCAAATTTGATGCTGTACATCCATCTGCACATCCGACATAAAGAAAAAAGCGACTCATTCGAGCGAGCTGAGGTGCTGGATTTTCTGGGTAATAAGGAATAATACACCTGCATCTGATCAGTGGATCAGGACCCAGGGAGTAGCCTGCATGCATCAAAATTAGGGAGGGGGAAAAAAATGACATAATCCTCCAGAAGTCACGATGCTGAAACAGCTGGATAGTCAATTTGCACAGCCAGGGAAAAGTGCTCGATCCACACTGAGCACTGACATATAACCCACAATGTCTGCAGTATCGTCCATGTGTAAACACTTTGCTCATAGTGAAAAACAAAAGAAATGAGTAACACCACATTTAGAAGGATTTTCTCTTCAGTTCTTGTCCAAAGTAGTGAGGCATGCGTCCTCGTTCCCTCTCAGTTCGCCAGACTGCTGCTGCGGTCAACGCTTGGTCACAGGAACAGGGTGGGCAGTTATTCTGTTGGGGTGGTGGCAACCGGGCTCATGATGGGGGTCATTAAGTCCCTCACAGGAACCATAGGGCAGATGGCCTTATGGCTGTAGTACTCTACTACTTGCTTGGGCACCTCTGCCAGAACGCATTTAGCCAGGGCCGCGGGTGAAGCCTGTAAAAGAGACAGAACAGCTGGAGTTGTCAAAACAGCAGTTAAATATCGTTTTAATCCCAGATACAGAACATTTTCCGGGGACTAAGGGCACTGTTAGTACTACTTTCTTTGTTTCAGACAAATTAAAAAAGGTATGTCAATGTCAGGCATCGTATTAGAGAGTATCTGCTTTATGTGTTACTCTGGAAAGAGACTCTTTGGTCTGATCCCAAGGGATGCATAAATGTGTTTTGCATTTCAGTTAATTTGTTTTGTCTTTTTATCACGTTAATATGCACAGGGTTCAAATCTGCACTTGAAAATTAGAATGCATCATTTGAAAATCACTTTAGGTTGCGTTAAACTTGATATACATGCAGGCCTGCAAATAAAGGTGTCTAAACACATCTTGATGCTTTCTAATCCTATTCTTAAATACTGATTGATTGATTTGTATCAGCTGATAATCAGTTAACATTACAGATGGGTGACAAGTTAAACATCAGTGAGTCAGAAAGATGTTGGGCCACAACAAGCTGCCAAAACATCAATCCTTTACACATTGATTCTGCAAGTCTCTGTAACTCTTTAACAACCCTCTCCCAGATTCTCTGTTGTGTTTCGATAACAATTCTGATGTGTGTTGTCACATCAGTCCAGAAGCGTTCAGCTGGTTTGGTAACTGTGATAGACGTTGTTTTCATTTGTTAGGTTATTGGGTCCATGTTTTTCTGTTTACAGATACAGTCGTGACTCGATAATCCGACACTAAAACCTTCTTCTATGTCGGATAGCAAGGCTGTCAGATTGTCAAGACGGAGGTCCAGATACAAGGAGGGCTTGATGCTGGAAGGCTCATTAGTTGTTAATTATTGTTCATAGTTGTTATAATAATTAGTAGGGCTGGTCCCAATAGCACTTTCTGCTCTCTGGATATTCAGGCCCAATTAATGATGAATATCCAAATATTCTGCGTGGTCGGGGGACACTTCCGATGAGGTGGAAGTGGCCGGAACACACAGGCAGTACTTGGCTGCTGATGCTAGTTTAGTTAGCGCTCACACTTCTGTTTCCTCCATCGGTGGCGGCGGGGGAGTGGCAGATACGCTCCACCGTTACCATCCATGTTTACTTCTGTAAACACTGAGCACGCTCGCTGCGTGTGACGTCGTCGTGTCCTCTTCTGCGCATGCGGGACACTTTTGGGTCGTATGAAGTTCACACAGCAGATCACATACAAGTCGCATTGAACTGGAAACGTGAAGGAAGTCACAAAGAAATCCTCATTGAGCATCAAGTCCTGCAGTGTGAACGTAGCCAATCTGTGGGATTGTTCAGTCAGATAATACGCCGTCATCCTGATTGGTGACATTAAATGTCATGTCGGAGTCACAATCCAAGGCTGTCGCTATGTTAAGGCTGTTTTTAATGTGTTTCGTTCGTTTTTCCTAAAAACCTGTTGGGTAGCAGGTTTAGGATTGTTAAGGGTCGAATTATCGAGTCACGACTGTATTTGTATTTTTCAGGTCTCTCTACTAATTGTTCTGTATTCTAAATGCTTTTCAAAAAACAGGAATATGTAAATCTTTCGGTACACGAGGCGCATATTCCATAACAGCCTGCGTTATTGCACAGCTGACATGTTGCCGACTGCATGTAGCAACATTAAGAATCCAGTCTTGTGTGAGTAAATTCCTGGACCTCCTCCAGTCCATGGTGCCCATCTGTAGCACTGGCAAAACCAGCAAAAGCTGCCTGCTAACTCTTTTAAATAACAAGGGCTTGGGTTATATAAAAAAGATGCAGTGCTCATGAGCGGCCGTGGCTCAGCAGTCAGACATAGAGGGGCTGAAAGGAAAGCCGAATGACAACAAGTGAAGACTGACAGATGGAGAAGAAAAAAAAAAAAAACTGACCGTTTTGAAGTCTCTGAAGGGCACAAATTGCACAATGTCCCTGAGGACTGGCTCGCCCTTTGGTGAGCGCAGGACTCCGTCATCTCCATCCAGAATCTGCATGTCTGTGAAGTCTGCATTGCCCACACCGACGATGATAATGGAGAGGGGTTGATAGGAGCCTCGTACAATGGCTTCACGTGTGTCTGCCATGTCGGTCACCACGCCGTCAGTGAGGATGAGCAGGATGTGGTATCGCTGCGACGAGATAAGAGCTTTCACCGTGAATTAATTCTTGTTAACATTCGCCCGACATGTGGTGAAATGCAAGGACACCTCTCTGTGTGTGCTGCCGTTTGAAGGAGGCATTTGCAGGCTGTTTAGGGTAATTTTACAGCCTCCGTTGAGCAGTAAAGATTTGGCTTTTTTGGTCCAAGAAATAAGGGAAAACTAGAGCAACTACAAACCGCAGCAGCAGCAGCAGAAATCTCATGTGTGTCCATGTGTATACGAGTAAAATTAACATTAAGTGCATGTGAGCAGCACAGAACAGCGACTTGGCACAAAACACTGCAAACACTTTGGATCGCTCCAGCGTTTTGTTTGTCAGGACCCTGACTGTGTTTATGTGTTACTGATCAAAAAGACAGACTGAAATTATTACGAAGGTCGATGCAATTACAGTAGTGTGATAGTTAAGAACACAATGTCCACGCAGCCTTTGGGTAATTTGAGATAGTACACCGATAAAAGTCTTGTGTTTTTACTTCCAAAGTGACATTAGGAAAGATAAGAAACTCAGTAATTCCATTAGCCACATTTTAGCAAGAGTTCATTGGATTATTAAATCAATGAAATGGAAATATGTCCATAAGCGGTGGCATCAATACGACCCTGCACAACTTAAATCCATAATGTAAAGAATGCTAATTAATTCTGAAATGGGCTTCTCTTCTTCTTTCGCGCCGTGGGGCACTATTACTACAAACACTGAGGGGAACTAGAGGCGACTCACTCGGGGAACTCAGTGGGAAGCACAACAACAAAGCCAGTATTACATCCATATATCTCTAAAAGGGGCACTCACAGAAGCATCTTTAATGTTGCCATCGCCTGCTGCCAGCTTGGCTATCCTGTTAATGATCGGAGAGACATTGGTTGGGCCATACAACTGGATCTTAGGAAGGCAGTTCTGGTATGCCTCAACCACTCCTTGGATACCTAATCAAAGCGAGCACAGAGCAAAAACGAAGGAAACATCAATACAGTTCTCTACACTTGTCAGTAAACAAGTGACTGTGAACTTCGAGGTGCATTCGGATGACTCATTCACTGCAGTGTGGCGAATAATTACAGTATATGTGGCCGGAAAATATTTTGTTTTTCACACAATTTAGGGAAGTTTTCAGTTTGTTTCAGTTTGTGTTTTAACAACCAGTGAACTATGAAATCTAAAAATACCATTAAACTTAAAGGCTACAAAGACCAGCTATGGAGCAAATAAAAAAAAAGAGAGAGAAAGATGCACACATCAGAGGAGTTGGTTTCTGCATTAGAGCTGGATGTTATAAGTGTTGTATAACCATTTGTAATCACATGAATAGATGAAGACCTGTCGAGCGGTGTTGTGTTTTTTAGCAGATTACATATGTAAATTCTGGTGTCATCAGCATAGAGATGCACTTCACCGGAAAACTGCACAAAGCTTTTCTTTACCTTCACATTCATCATCCTCTGGGTTGAAATTAATGGCAAAGTCATGGGACACCTGTGAACGGAGACAGAGGAAATTATGAAACACTGATAATTTGGTGTTTGGTGAAAAAAAAGCTAAGCCTTCCCCATGAGAAGGCTTCATGATCATGCATCCTTTTTTCTAATCTTTCCATGTTGTTTCAGAAATAGCTGCCATTTTTTGAATCTGTGAAGTAAATGAGGTTTTGTTTTTGTTTTTTGGCATTGCTAAGTACAATTTTGATTTTTTTGTGTGTGTGTCATAAAAGTAGTTGCGACTAAAACTGGAAAACAAAATTTCAAACTGAATTTAAATGAGACTCTGTTGCTACCAGGAGGGGACAGTAATTTTCAGTGTCCACCCATCCATTATCTATACACCACTTAACCCTCACTAGGGTCGCAGGGAGGCTGGAGTCTATCCCAGCTGACTCAGGGTGAAGGCAGGTTCACCTGGACAGGTAACCAGTCTATCACAGGGCTACACTTAGAGACAGACAACCAAGCACACTCACATTCACACCTACGGACAATTTAGAATCACCAATTAACCTCAACATGTTTTTGGACTTTGTGGGAGGAAGCCGGAGAACCTGGAGAGAACCCACGCTGCCCAGGGAGAACATGGAGACTCCACGCAGAAAGCGAACCGGCGACCTTCTTGCTGCGAGGCAACAGTGCTACCATCTGCGCCACCTTGCAGCCCAATTCTCAATGTGACAATGTAACATAAAAGCAAAATCAGTGGTTAATTTGGGTGTATTTAAAGTGACCACACCTGTATGGTATTGTTTTTAACATCATTCTTCCCATGAACTGCAGATGTAAATGGCTAACTCTGTCCCAGCAGCTGTGTTGTACATGACCCCTGCTAATTGAGCCAATAAATTCAACTAAATTTTAAAGCCGAGCTGCATTTTTTCTACTCATAAAATAAATATCGGTAGTGACTTAACTTGCACATTGATTCTGCATGATAATTAGCTTCATATGTAAATGAAGGCAGGGACAATTTTTGCTAATGTTGAGTGAAAATCAGGAAATCGCAGCAAACTGACATGTTTGCTGTATTTAAAGATATTATTCTTCAAGCATCGACTGACATGTATAATGAAAGGCCACATTATAATCGTCAGCGGCGCATATCGTACATGGACACTTGACTGTGTGACACATTGGTTTGTGAACGCTCCATCCCAGTTTATCTGCTCGTATTAATACCCAGAATTCCTCACACTATGGAATAATGAGGATATAAAATGTACTATATGCTCAGTATCTGGTTTCTGAAAAGGGATTGCAGCCCCTCTTCTTTCATCCGGTACATTCTTGCCATCCAAACATCAGATAGATTTTGTTTATCTCAAAGCTGTTTAATTGGCAATAATAAAATCCCCTTCTTGATTCCTGCTGTCACAAGAAACTGTTTTTTTCCACGAGCACCAACTGTCAGCCAGATCAGTGACAACTGACTCCTCTCCAGCTGGCTATTTCTTTTTTTTTATCATCATATTTTTCTTTAATGTTATTAACAGCCTGAATCCAGTCAATTTATATGTAGATATGAGAAGCCACAATAGAAATTATGTATGTGGATAAATGTGTTGCATTGAGCCACAGCAACAACAACAACAACAACAAAAACAAGCGGTCTGGTTTTGTAATTCTTTTGACAGGTGTGTTTTACAGCAGACCTCCTTGACATGGCAGGAAACAAATCAGCGTAACCAATTACAACCACAATGGCTGTCTTCCATTCAGATGATCTAGTTGTACGGATGGTGTCGTGCACGTTGTCATGACTTACAGAGACGCTTAAAGGAACGGAGCATCTGCAGCCATTGATAATGTTCTTAGCTTCACCTGTGCTTTTCCTGCTGCTGCTGCTGCATGACAGTCGTTCATTCAACATCACAGCCTAATCTAGTCAGCGTGCCAAAGTACACGGAGGGGGGACACGAGCACAGACTGACTGGTTTTTTTTTGCCGGTCCGTTTTATCAGCGCGAGCACCGCGTCCACCTGGGGCATACTTGTTACCATGGTCACCAAATGATTTGTATAAATCACTTCCTGGACGGTCCAGTAACGGTTAAGATCATGCTAGAATCACATATGTGCTGCTTTTGAGCCAACAAGGCACAAAGGTCAAACAATCAGCTCAAGACCACTTGAAGAGGCTGCAACAAACAAAACGTACACAACAGAGTCAGTTTTAACCAAACCAAGAGAGCTAGACGTGAAAACAACCAGTTTAACTTATATCTGACACACATGGATGATATTTTCTAGATTTTAGCTTTGATTCGTGCATATTTAGTCATGGATATCCAAGGCTAAAGAGACGAGCTTTGAATTAAAACACAAGATCATATTCATTTCATCCAACATCTATACATGGCTTAATCCTCACTATGGTTACTGGAGTCTATCCCAGCTGAATCAGGGTGAAGGCAGGTTCACCTGGACAGGTCACCAGTCTATCACAGGGCTACACTTAGAGACAGACAACCAAGCACACTCACATTCACACCTACGGACAATTTACAATCACCAATTAACCTCAGCATGTTTTTGGAGGAAGCCGGAGAACCCGGAGAGAACCCACGCTGCACGGGGAGAACATGCAAACAGGAAGATCCCGGGTGTCCTCATCGGGACGCGAACCAGCGACCTTCTAGCTGTGAAGCAACAGTGCTAACCACCGAGCACCTTGCAGCCCATATTAATTTAAATGAAATGCAAAACCATCAGTTACATCCTTGACCAGAAGATAAACATCGTCAGTCTGTATTTATTCTTCGTTTCTGTTCACACTTAGTATGCATGGCACAAAATTCTGATGCAAGAGCCAGGAGAGCCCGGGTCCATCAGAGTTGTGCATCTAGTGGAAAAATGTACCTCATGACTAGTCTAATGACTTCATTAACATTCACCTGCACCACCGACCACAAAGCAGCGGCGCTACACAATAAAATAAACTTGACTCCTGCAATGCAATCACTGTCACGGCAAATTCAGAATCTAATCGTTTGTATTTACTGAGCCACAGTTTTTTTTTTTGCATGATTAAAATGATAATTATTAGAGTTCACATATCGCACACTTGGATCTTATTTTAAACACGGGCCATTCTTGGATTTATAGATTATCTGACAGTGTTTGTGTCACTCTTCACACGTCAGACGTCTCCCCGGGGCTCCATTCACAATCACTGAAGGCTTCTGGTTCTCAGAGTCCAATTTGCTTAAACAAACGCTCTCACACTTGTGAATTCTTATGTAAATTGAGCATCAACACTCGGGGGCCTTTATTTCCTTGGAACATGATATTTTCTCAAGACAAGCTGATATTTTGAGACAACGGGCTTATGAATAAAAATACACTCCGTAATTAGTTTTAAATGTGAAATTTTGACAGAATGACAAATTGTGTCATAAAATAGGTCACGGAAATCAGCTTGCTTAACGAACAGTCCCAGGGTAGTGGGAAACACCAGGCTTTGATAAGCACATGAATATACAGTGTGCATTATGCTGGTCGTGTGAAGGGAAGGTCAGCGTCTTGAACAGAATAGTGAGAAGTGAGATTGAGGCTGAAGAATAAAAACACTCACCTCGTAATTCGGAGGGATTCTGGCACCAAACCCCAAGGCTGAAAACCGCTTGTCACTGAAACGATAAGCAAATTAATCAGCCGTAAACTCGAGTAACTGCTGTTTCATTTGGGTTGCATTTTTTGACAGCGATCTGAAAAACATTGACGGCTCATCCATCTGCTCGCGTTTCCGAGGGCATACACCCTGCTTGTTTGCATTCGGTAACGTGTTAAAAGCTTGAATTACAGTTTGAAATCTGTCCCACAGTTCCTGCAGCCAGCTTTGCACCTGTTCAAAGAGCCTCCACGCACTCTTTAATCTCTCCGTTTTTCATTGTGCCGTTCATATGGGTAGATGTGGCTGTAAGAGGCTCTGCTCGGCTGGATTGTGTTGCTCCCAGTCAAAGGCCAGGGTGCACAGATTTGTAAAAAAATAACAAGGCGACTGAAACCACTCCCTGTTTGCCAGACGGTGCATTATACCTCGGACGATTCTGAGCGTGAAATGCATCCCTTATGAAGTGCCCTCAAACATGGAGCTAAAACTGGAGTGCAAGTGGCGTGCGCGCTACTTTCTGCTAAAAGTGCCACAGCGGAGTGCGAAACACTTTGTAAAACGTCGTGTCTGTCGAAACGCAGCAGTTCGTGCAATCATTTCCCTCTTATAAGAAGGTGCCGATTGTTTTTCTAAATATGCACCGCTGTCAGATGCGTGTAGTAAAAGTATTCAAATGAACTGTGTAAGACCTAACGGTGTGCTCTACGCCTGCTCTGCTGTTGATGCCTGCAGTACATAAAGGGACTACTGCAGTGATCAAAAGCTGCCCACTTAATGGCTCAATGACACATATCCTTACCAGCTCACTCTGTGTTGTTATACTTCCTTTTTTGAAAGACAGACGCTTTTATACTATGCAAAATAAAAGCAAAGGGTTGTGGAAAATAAAGAGTGTAATGTTTGATCACTTGTTTTTAACCCTTCTCCTGCAAGCTTCATATGATGGAAGGACCCCTTTAATAACCAGACACCATTAAAGGGCACACTGTAGGTACAAACAGACAACACCGTCCATTCCCCGCTTTTACTGTAATACATTACAATATGCTGCAGAGCTGTCACAACTTGTTTTCAGTCACATCAGTGATTGTTTGCCCACAGACAGCCTTTTTTTCTCTAATGGCTGCTTCTGTAATCAGAACATTTACTGTATTTTCATGCCTTTGACAAAAAAAAAACGCCCCAAATTCTCCAGCGCAGTGCAATCGCAAATAACATCGCCAGTTCAAAAGAATCTTGGTTTAGGGGCACGAAGCATTCGAGATGATGTCTTTAATTAATTTGCTGTGGACACGGTGTGGCTGCCTCAGAGGGTACACAGCAGAAATGTACAGTGTCAGGGAGCGTCGAGCTATTTGGTGAGTTGACAAGTGTTGATTGCAGAGCTGTTTGTCCAGTCATAATGGCTAATTTGGCTTTTGGGGGCAGCGTTTTCGGAGCTATCAGAAGTGTGTGATTAACTTGGATGGGTGTGGACTTACATAAACACTGGCAGAGGGATGGTTTTTACACTTTCAGTAACTCTGATGACTCTCCACAGATGCAGCTTTAGTTTGGCAATCTTTATTTATTTATTTATTTTATTTTTTATACCTGCTCTTGTTTTATATTACAGAAACCAGACAGGCTAATTTTGTTATTAATATTATTACTGCTCCTCCTCAAGGACCTTGGAGCAGATAAAGGATAATGCACGTCTTTACCCACAACCTCGCAGTACAACATTTAAAGTGGTTGCAAACCCTGACGGCAACATCCTTCAGTTTCGGGGAATTCAGTCAGAAAGACGTCACTGAATATGGTTCATGGAGCATTTTGAATGCATATTTGGATGCCACTATTATTCTGTGTTCCAAGACAGAGGGGGGGGGGGATAAACATATGAGTGCAGTTTTTGTTCTCCTTTGTGCAACCTCTCCAAATGCTCCGGCTAATGCGCCGTACCGCGTCCAGATATAAAAACACTCTAGTAGTAATGTTCCCCTGAAATTAATAGATTTCTCGTTCAATAGTTTCCTGCAGCAGATACAAACGGCACAAAAGGAGCTCCCAACTCACCTTCAACATTTACATGTTTTCAAAGTTTTTATCCATTTTTCGTCAATCCGCTGAATGCGGGCCCTACTCCCACTGTCGTGACCTTTCAAACACGCCAAGGCATGTTGCATCGATGCAAAATAATAGGAAAAAGCTAATTATGTTTGGGGTATTGTATTTGGTTTCGCAGGCTTTGAGAAAGAGTTGAGAAAGATCTTTAATGAAAATATTTTAATGGGGTTGGAGTTACTCAAGCCTAACCAATTTTACTCTGACACGTATTGTATTCCTGTTATTGTTAACAACTCAGATATAGAGAACTCATTACCGCAACCCATAGTCTCGACCAATAAATTTCCCCTCTGAGCTGTAACAGATAGATTTCTATTGCGCGGTTCATAAATGTCTTCGGAGATCATCAAGCTCAGTAGATGTATGAGACATGACGGAGCGCCAGCCCAGACTACTGACAAGTCGGTCTCATCGTGTGAATGCTGGTCCTTGTTTTCTCACTTTGTCGGCACACGTGAGGAGCCGCGGGGAGATGTGCCCGGTGTAATAGCCCTCTCAGCAAGGTAAACGAGCCTCTACCCACACAGACAAAAGCTCGTCACTCCAGCTCCATAATGCACTCCTCTGCAAGGACTCGAAAATCCCACATCACCTATGTTCACTAAAGGCTAAAAGGTTTGCTTGCCCACGTTTTTCACACCTCAATAACAATTCCAACTTGAGAGGGAAGGGCTGCCTACACTTGTAGTCACTGCTTGCCCAGAGGCGTGTTTCCATGTATGATACCGTTGTGTATCTATGTAAAAAATAATAAAGCTGCGAGGATGCGCTCCCAGTTTTTTCGGGCTACTTTTCAATGTCTCCAGTGCCATCTCTTGGATTCTATAATTAGCCAGACAGTGCTCTCCCCTGATATTCAATAGGAGGATCTGCATAAATCAGGAGTAAGAGTATTAATCCTCATCTGGCTTAGTTTTTGACAGCCGAGAGGGTCTTTCTCCAAAACAGATCCATTAATTAGCAACTCCACACATTTGTACATTGTTTGATATTTGTTCTAAACTAGAATTTAGAAAGAAAAAGAAAAAAGTGACTGAAGCCAAACTGTATGAGCAACATTTACAGAAACAGAGATTTTTCTCACATGGAAATATCACAGGCTCGACGCTGCACCTCCTCTGTCTTTACATCTGATTCTGCACCACGCGGTTGTTTCTCCAGCCATAATGCCTCCCACTCCTTCCTGAAGTGCCTGCTACCCCGGTGTCAGCCCCTATCGCTGCATGCGTTCGTCTGTAGTTCAGGGTAATGAGCCCATGCGAGCTAAGAAGGAGGACCAGTCTCTGCAACAGATGCTGAGAGGAAACTGTATCATTGAGTTATCCACAGGAGAAAGCACTCGCAGCCACCGCTGTGAGTCAAGCAACTATGACGTACGAGCCGAGCTGCGCTACTACGAACCGCATACTTTGGGCTGGAGTCCCACCAAAAACAGATGACTGGATCCTTAATCTGTTGGCTAAATTCCTCAGTTTCCACCAAATTCATTTGAAGTTGCTTTAAAAGGAAAACAAATCCCATTATCTCTGGCATGACATAGAAATCCCTTATCAGGTACTTTTTTTTTTTACTACTTTCTGCCAACACCCATGAGTGAGATCACATCTTTCATCTTTAAACTTTTTTGTTCAAGTTCTAGGGGACACCAGAAGTGCTCCTGTTTGTCTTTGAAATCTTTCCAAGGCTTGCTTAAATATCCAGTGACTCAACAGGCAAATCGCACCAGTTTGAAATGTTTATCTGATTTGTAGGTGTTGGAGCTTGTGCAGGTAAGAAATTAAAGTATTCTGATAATATGATCATAACAACGTAGCGCCACCAAGCAACATGAAAGGACGGAGACGTATAGAGGCATTTATTTGCTAAAATGAAAATCAATATGTGAGAGACGTGGCGTTCGTTAGAGTGTTTATTTTCCAATCTACTACGCTAGAATGAGTTGGAAATAAATTGCCAATTTGCTTAGAAATCGCTGCCAAAAAAGCTGTCAGCAACCGATGTCTGCGCAAGATTTAAATGCCTGTGGCTGACAGAGCATAAAGGTCACAGTGTCGTCAATCTGACTGACAGACAGACGGATGGAAATTAATACTAAAAAGATGGCTAATCAAAATGGACCATAAAGGAGCGAATCCAGGATATTGTGTCAGTGTCCTTGACTGCTTCTTCCAGGCACCATCTTTAGCCCCAGATTAGTCTCATGCATTAATAATGCCAGTAGAAGCCAAATTTGTTTGCTCTATTTTTCCCAGGTACAAACAGTTTTCTCACCCATTACTGAACAAGATAAACACCGACTTACCAACACGATAACGATTATGAACTGTATTTAAGCTGCGAGTTACAGCCGCTTTTCTTTTTTTTTTTAAACAATGTGAAGCTCAACTGTGAGGAAAAAAAATTAAAATGCAAAATACATTTCGGTGCAAAAAGCTGCTGGTCAACAGTTCACTTCCATCAGCTTGATGGCGAGCAGAAGTACAAAAAGCTGCAGGATTCGCTTCCATTCGGTTTCGCCATCATTTCCATTACAGTCTTTTTCGCTGCTTCACACGGAGCAGCTCATTTCAGCCGGAGAGATTCTGCTGCGATGGCACGCAAGAAGCACTCTGCAGCTTTATGACACCGACAGCCCCTGTAGGCACCAAAGAGCCTTTTTTTTTTCTGAGGAACCAGAAGATTGACAAACCTGTCGTAGTCTTGACAGATCTCGCCGACTGCTATCAGAGCCTTCAAGTACTCGTTGGGCTGGTATGGGTTGATGTAGTGCAATGAGCAGCTGTTCCTGGGGTCTCCGTTGGAGGCTGTGAAGTCAATGGCAACCTGGTAGGAAGACATTCCAAAGTGCACAACATGAATAATATGATAGAATCCGTTCTGCTTTTGCCACTTTGCAAAGACTTTTTCTTGTTTGCTTATGATATTACAAGCGCTCATGAGAAAGGGAGCCTGAAATATGACTAATGGCAGAATAAAGTGCTGATCGGAGGTAAGAACTTGCTGTTTTATTTTTTACACCCACGTAGACTAAAGCAGCTCCCGTACACTGTAGATCCAGGCTTTTTAAGCAAGGAGGAGCTGCATCCACAGCGGTCCTCACAATTAGTATTCATAGCTCCAGTCATCCAGCTAAAGATCAAGAGCAAGAATTACAGAGGGCAGACCAAAGGGCACGAGTTGAGAAAGTTAAAATTTATTCCATGAAGCTGCCTACAAAAAACAGAACGGACTGTACACAAAGACAAAAACACCAAACGGCTCATCTACCATCGGTGTGATCTACGTGTTGATTGCGCTTTGTGGATCATTTCGCTCAACTAAAGCCGCAGCAGTCACGATGACAACGAAGCGTCGCTAAACACGGACTGTTAAATTTACCGTAAAGTGAATTTGGCATCCTCCCATGATGTAATCTAAGAAGGAGTACACTCTGTGGAGCTGCAAAGGAAGAAAGAGAGAGAGAGAGAAAAAAAAAAAAGATTTCTGTCAGGCGAAACCTCAGAAGTGATGTTTGGGTGGGAGGGCAAGCGCTCAGCTGTGTTGTCAGAAGCATCGGGTCATTAAAACAGAATTAACTCAACAAATGTGTTGACTGTAAAGGGTAAAGATGAAGACGGCGATGCATCTCGTCAAAGCAGCGGAAACTAAAAACTGAAATTTTTCTCATTTAGACGGACGGCTACCAAGACATGAACAGAGTAAACAAGCAGCTAATACTGAGTTAAACACTCCCTTCAGTGAGGCCTGCTCCAACAGACATGACATGTTTCTGCAGCCGATTCCTACCTTAAGGTCAGTGAGGATGACAACTCCTGAATTCTTATAGTTTCTCTTCTTCTGCTTGTACTTGGGGTTCACGCAGTCCCACGACACCTGAAACACAAAGCGAGTCAGAGACAAAGCACTGAAGCAACAACTTATGGCGTTCAGATGATGTGAAAGCAGGCGTGACATTTGTTTGGGCTGCGATGGATTTCGGCGGAGCAGAAAGCGAGGCATATTGGAGACGGATGAAACGGTTGCACGGCTGTATCTCCTCCGCTCTGCTCCGCCTTTCCATTCACTGACCTTATTTCCACTGGAAATTTTCTGCATTTCCCTGAACGTGGCATAGAACTCGCCGATGAAGTCGTGCTTCCCCCTGGAGTCATGATCCCACACGAGGCACTGTGGCACACACAGAGAACGCTGTTTACTACATTCGACAGCATATTTACTGTATTTCCTTCGATAGCAGCTGAACATCTTTTTATCATAAGTCCATATATAAATCACAGTGGGACTTCTTCTTTGCTCTGCCCAGTTTTCTGACAGCAGCTGAATCAAAGTGGTCGTGCAGTTTCTGACTCACTGACACCTGTAGTTCTTCACCCACGGTTCTTCAAGGTTCTCTTACCTTGAGCTTCCGGTCTTCGTCACAGCTGCACAGGGATATGAGGGACACTTTGAAGGGCTCCCACACTGGATTCAGGTTGTTTTTAATCACCTATCAGAGCAGGAACACGTTACATAGGAAGCTTAAAAAACGCATTAACAGGTGGCGATGGAAGTCGAGAGGGAACTGCGGCGAGCTTACCTCGGTTCTGTGCACAAGCTGTTCGGTTTCGTCGTCGTTGATTCGATAGATTTCCATGAAGGGGTCTGACTTGCTGAAGAGATCCTGCAAAAAAAAAATGGAGAGTAGTTTACTGTCTTTTAATGGGAGAGGTCCCTGGAAAAAAAAATGGTGTATAGGAAGGATCAGAAGCCTAATGAATAAAATATTTGTTGTGGTAGCATTATGTAAAATGTTTCTCGTTTTCTTTTATCGCTGTGTTTATTCAGGAACTCTTACTGAGACCAATTTAACCAGAAACTAATGAACATGCAGCATAACCCTCGCCACTGTGGGTTCTTATTTCATTAGGCTGATTAAAGCTAAAGAGATTGTGTTTGTCAATATTTAACATGAGGCTACGATGAACTCCGGCGTTTAGGTTATTTCAGCGTGTGACTGGGGCTCGACCAGATGACTCGCTGGCTACGAGAGGAATCTGAAATTTGCACAAATGGCTGTTGACACTGATTTATTACTGCTGATTGCAGAAGGAGAAGTAATTATCTCTGTGATTAAAGGTCAGGGAGGCACAGGCACAAAATCTGCAGCACAGCATGGTGATATTTTGGGACTTATCAGTTCAGAATTGGGAATATTTTACAAGCTTGTAAACTCATGCCATTCCCTAGTTATTGCATTTTTTTCTTTCCCCTACTCGACCACTGACCTTTTTCCTGAGTAAATAGCGTTATTGACTTGATATTTCCTCTCATATAGGCTTTTATGCACTTTGGAAATATCTTTATTGGTTCCTTCAACCAATATTTGAAGTCCACGAACGGTAAATTTGAAGTTTATTTCGTGACTTTTCATCCACAAAATGCGACAAACCAGCTCCGGCGTTGGGGTTGCTGCTAACATCCTGCATTCAAATCAACTCGTGTCCATCTACATCGTCAGTGTTAAAAGAAAACACCTTTCCTAACTGAAAACGTGCAGCATTCTTTACGGTTATTTGCGGTGGCCTTAAATCTTCCCCTGAGCCTCAAGTACGGGCGTCTGAGAGCAGCGGCAACACTGATTATTTAGGTCAATTGATTCTTCAGGGAGAAAAACAAATAATCACTGTGTGTGTGTCTGCGGTGGTTGGGTGGGTGGGTGAGAGGGGGAGGGAGGTTCTGTGTACACCGAATGAGACAGTTAAGGATGCATTTCCCGCCACATTAGCCAGATACATCTCCTCAGGGACGGGAGGGAGGGAGGGGGGAAAAAAAAAAAAGAGAGAGAGAGAAAAAAAAAAAAGAGCTGTAGCATCCTCTCTTTGTTGCCATGGCAACCGCTAGCCAGTGGCATCGGCGGCATTGACTGACGAGACACACATGTCAAAATTCAATCCGGGGCTAACAATAACATTAATGCCAATCAGTACCAGCAATCTGTGGCATCGCATAATTAATCGTCGTGTTTACCGACATCTATATGGTGACCTTTCGGTATTTACAGCAGGTCGAGGTGATAAGGCTGAAACGCAGCTAATTAGAAACAGCTCGTCTTCTGTTATCTTTGGCAGGTGAATTGCTGGATGCAAATGGTCTGTCACAGCTAATTTGCATTGTTTAAAAAAATAATAAATCTTTGCAACTTGACAAAACACCCAATCGCTGATCAGATCTGCTCTCGTAGTTTTAAGGAATCTTTATCATGTTGAGTAGGTAAATGGTCTGCACTTATTCATACACCAGTGGCGCCATGCTAGCTGCTGCCTGCCATTGGGAGCAACTTCAGGTTCAGTGTCTTGCCCAAGGACACTGTGGAGGGGATCAAACCACCAACCTTGCGAATGGAGGACATCCTGCTCTACCACCTGAGCCACAGCTGCCCAGGTCTGTCGTAGGGTTTGTCTCACCTGTTGACAGCCACCATTCATCCTTACAGACATATCGTTTGAGCTTTACGGCCAAACTTTCTGTTTTGTTGTGTGACCAGCAGCGGTGAAGGTAGCCGGTGGTCACGACAACTTTGAAAATGAGAACAAACATATTGGACGTCTGGAGATTAGACTCCAAATTAATGTTTTGTTGTTCGTCTGCCGTTTGCTAATCAGTAAAGTCAAACGGTGCCTTTTAAAATAAACTCAGCGCCAACACACGTACTTTATAACCAGGGTTTTAAATAAGTTTGATAGCTTGGAGGTATTCACTGACAATTTAGTTCGACACCAACCCCAGGAACTGCGTGAAGCTCCATCCTCACTGCTGAGCTCACAAAACCGCCAACTCTGTGCAAAACCAGCTGATTTCTGAATGTTAGCAACATAAAACACAACATGTACAGTCGTTATAACGTCTATAATAATATATGCTGTGTTTAAAGATGACTCACTCTCTACTCAGTCCGCTCCCTTGTTTCCTCTCTAATATAAAGGGAAAAATGAAAAACAAACATTCAAATGATTGCTGATTTACCAGCGACTCTCTGCCCTGCCATCCCACTCCGACAGAACAGAGGAAGCAGAGGAAATGTTATTTCTAACCCTTCATTAGTGATAGCAAACACTGCTCACACCCATGTTTGTTGTTGACTTGTTTGCACAGATGGTGCGAAAATGAACCAGACTTCACCGATAATACCAAACTAAACTTCTCGCAACCAGACCTCGAGCTTTGCTGCTTTATTCTGACCAAGTTACGCACACAGCATAACATTAGGAGGAGGTTGTTTTCTCGAACGGGAGGTGAAATTGTCCGTGCGTGCGAACACCGTCGCTGTCTATCATCTTCTGCATCGAGCTTTCATGCCAAGGGGCTGCTGTACCAAATAAGCTGCCGCAGTGTTTGTTCAGAGTAAAAAAGATGAACACTTCGGAGCCTCTGTGGAACATGATTACACGCCAATGCTTCACAAGTAACAGTGATTTATTTGAATGCGCAGAAACCTCAGTGGCAATCAGTTCACTTTAAACAAAGCAAGTGGGTGGCTTCCCCCGGTGCAGAAACTCACCGCTTCCAGCAGCAAGCTGCATATATGAAGGAACTAATCACAAGCAGGAGAAGATGTAACAAGCATTTCTGTTTTATTTACTCCGGTAGGTGTCCGGTTCAATTTCACCGTCAGAGCAGCTGTAAATTTAAAACTGCAATTTTAAAAAAAAATAAATGTAGAGGCTGTCAAAGATGTACATTTTTCTCCCAACACCGCTGGGAATCAAGGGCAATCTGTGGGTTTGGAATCCTAAGGCTTGTTCCTGGGAACATGGTGTGACTTGAGATCATCAGAGCTGTAACTAGATGTAAGCTCCCGCTGTCTTTTTGATTGAAATATGCCTTCAGCAAAGTTTGACATGCCGTGTGAGACCAGGAGCAGCTAAGGTCAGTAATATGCAGCCTTAAAGTGGTACCCTAGGAATTCAATAAGTCATAACACACATTTCACGTGACTGTTATGTTTAACAATGACTAATGCACGTTACATTTCTCCCTCTCTCTACTTAAATAATGTTCCTATTGATTTGTAATGAAACTGAAAAGCGATCCCTTTCACGTGCACGATGTAAAGGCTGGTGAGGCGCTGTGGAAGCTTTCAGAGGCTAACACCATGACATCAGTGGCATCACATTACTACTACTCTCATACCTTTCTAGTGCTTCTAGATGTCTAATAAAAACAAATGTGTCGGCATTTCCATCACAAAACGTGCGTCCTCCTCTCACCTTATCATCCAGCTTCTTGGCTCGGAAGGAGAGCTCCACGTATCCGTTGTTGCCAGAAATTTCCTCGGCGTGCACCTGGAGGGAAATAGGATTTGTCAGGAATGTTTCGGCGTTCTGCATAAACAAATATCGACTCAGAAACATAACCTCAAAGCTCACTAAAGCTAAAGTTGGGACTGAAACTAACAAATTCAACCTTGTGACGGGTGGTTTGGGTGCCACGGTGAGCTTCTGAAGGTGGACATTATTCGCCAGTATTTTGACTAAATTAAAGCAATTAGTGATTTGAAAAATGACTGTGTTCCCGTCTAAAAGTGCCCTGGAGCTAGATTCCCAAATGGTTCGACGGTACGGCCGCTACCTGGCGTGGCAGCTTCCGTCCATTAGTGCACGTGAATGGGTGAATTAACAGGCTTTTTAGATAAAAGCTTCTAAAAGCCGTATAAATACAGTCCATAATGGCTGACGACGGATAGATTTACACCTGGAAGTTACACTGCAATCCACAGTTTAATACCTTTGCTGTTGGAAATATTTACACAAATGATCATTCAGTGTGAGAAATTCTCCTAAATATAAACATCGTAATTTAATACTGATCATCCTTGTCGTTATATTCGTGGTGTTTTACTTTCCTTTGCAGGGACACTTTTTTTGTTTTTTTTATTTCCTGCACACCTGTCTACCAGGTTTGCATTTAAAACAGACAAGATTCGACCTTTCTCTTGTAAAAAAGCAACTTTTCCCGTCGCATTATGGGGAGCAGTTAACGTAGATCATCTTTAAAGTGGCTTTTACTTGGCACTGGATTGCTCGACACACGCACAGCACGAGAGCGGAACAACCCATTAGCCAAAAAAAACTGGATGCCTCCATTGCCACGGGTTATTGTCTCAGCTTGTGGACTTAACTTTTAATGGATGTTGGGAAAAGTTTCAGTGGAAACAGTGAAGGTGCGTATCAGGTTCTTCCCAGAATAGTTTTGTTTCGTCGGACTTGCGACAAAATAATCAAGATGGTCATTATTAAGAATCAAGCCCTCGGCTGCTCCCTCGGCGCTGTCCGGCCCACTCGCAGACGTTTGTTCTCGACTCCTCTGTAGGAAACTGACAGGAGCCTTACATCAAACCGCCAGAGCTGTGGCTGCAGAGCGAGCGTGGCCGGGGCCAGACGAAGCCTGACAGTGATGACTGGCAAAGTAGGAAACTTGTGTGTTTTATCTGACAGCTTGTCCTGACAAGCACCAGGAGCAGGTAGAAGTCTTTGTTAAAAAAAAAAAGAAAGGCACAGACAGAAGGAGTCTCTTAAAATTCTCTCCTCGTAGGCGCTGAGATTTTGGATGAAGGTTACGTGTTTACAACAAGGTCAGGGATTCGGCATCTACTTGTTAGTTGTATGGTTTCACCGTGAGGCGCACCTCCCCTGAGCTGAAGGGGACAGGTGCTCGCTGGTGGTCGAAAAGCAGCCAAACGTTGGTTGTTTTTGTTTCCCCGCTGATGTCGGTCAGCAGCACCGGCTGTGACACGCAGACGGGCTGTACTTCTGGATTACTGCTGCTCAAAACCTGTCCTCCGTTTTCAGATCTATCTCCGTTAAGTCTGAAGGATAATTTAGACTCAGAATGACTACCACTTTCTGAGGGTACAATTATCCCTCATCTCCATCACAAAAGTTCAGAAATCCTCTTTTAAAAAATTCAGAATGAGACACTTCTCCTCCTCTTTCTAACTTCACAACTTCACAACCGTCACTTGAGTTTTCTTCAGTATAGAAGTCGTGCAGCGACACATTTATGGAAACAGGAACTGCTAATAGTTATATTTGCATATATTTAATGAGCTCAAATTGTAGCCCACGGCAAAACTAACTCGTCTCAATTTTGTCTGAGGAAGGATCCACATGGAGAGAATTACTGAATAATTACCCAACGCCTGATACCTGGTGCATTACCTAATCCAGCTTCTGTGCATTAGCTAATGCATCGTGGGGGTGAACACGGACAAATATGTGCTTTCAAAATTTAGGAGCTTCAGTTAAAAAAAAGACGATTTAAAAAAAAAAAAAAGCAAGCAAACCAGAATCAAAAGGTACGCGATTACAAATGCAATTAAAAATGAAGAAAGAGAGATTTTAATGCCATCCTGTGTGGGCAGCCACAACAAGGTAAGTAAGGCCTGCACATAATTATTTAGATTTGTGTGGATGAAATGGTCAGAAAATCCCCCTTTACTGTTATCCCGAAGACCTTCAGTAGTGCCTTGCTGTTGGCGCCTTTCCTGAATAACGTCTCGCTCCAGAAAAAGATTAAATAACAAAGATTTAGGATGACTTTGTCTTTAACTTCCTCTGTCCAAACACAGGTTCAGATTTCACCCCGAGTCATGTCTGTATGCAGAGAGCGAGGAGAATATATGAGGAAAAGTTTCCTGCTCTCATTTGGATGAGTGCGACTTTACACGAGCCAAATATGCAGCTGATGGGTCCAAACACGGGAACATCTGTCCTGCATGAGAAAATCCAGCATTATTGATAACAGGGCTGTCAGACATCCACGGGCCCCGCAGCCTCTTGTCTGCCATAAATTCATTAGAAGAAGTGGAGGCTCTCTTGTGTTTTTCCAAACGAGGTAGAGCGGTTACAGGCCTGAGTGGAGAGCCGCATGATTAAGCTTGTCATGTTTTTAATATGCAACCACCACTGGCTTGTTAACTGTAAGATGGCAGTTAATGAAGCAGCAGCTCCTCTCTTCCACATCCGACACATGATACACATGCATCACTTCTTATGGATTTTTTTTTTTTTTTTTTGCCTCCCCCGTGGGTGCATTTGCATGATTAGCACGAATAGCGTCCTATTACACTAAAGAGGGACACCGCCGTATAGAAAGCGTTCATGTCTGCTTTCATCAACCTGAAACCATTCTATAAGCGGTGTTGTCAACTTTACTGCTACTGAAGAGAAGCTGTTTTCTTTCGTTTTTTTTCTCCAATTAAATCAGGTTAAAAATATTCAGATAGACACAGAACACCATAAACAGAATGTCGGTCCATTATGGCGCCTAAGTGTGAACTGCTGTGGGACTTGGAGGGGAGAGAGAAAAGAATGCAGAAATCTTAATGCTTTTCCCCATCGATCTGCCGTCCATTATTTCCCTCAGCTCCTCCACTTTCTCCATGTCCAGACAATTTCATTCGCCAGAGCGGTGAGGTCATGAGCACAATGCGAGAAACCTACTGTGATGGTGGATTTTCCGGCATATTTCCCATACTTCAGCAACAAAGGCTTCACCATCTTCTTCTGGGCCACAATCTGCAAAGAGGAAGATAAGCAATGACGTTGGCCTTGAGACCTTGAGCGGTAAAGAGCACCGTGCAGGGACCTGAGTCATCAGGCGTCAACCGTTTACTCTGCAGAGACACGTAGCAAGCGTACAGCATCAGGTAGATTTACTACACGGAGGAAGACGACTCTGCATGATTTAGTCGTTTTAAGCGGAAGGTTTTATTGCACGAGACAAACGGAGCTTAAACTCAGCCCGCCATACATCAGGGTATTTGGGAAAACAACTGTCGCTGCAAATCAATAAAATGGGCTGGCAAAGACAAGCCTACCTGGCCGAGAGTGCACTCCACGCCTCCCAGGAAGTCGTCGTCGCGGGTGCCGATGCTGTGAGTGCCGTGGATGTCGTAGACTTCAAACCGCAGCTTCTGAACCTCCTCGAAGTAGTAATCCAATAAGAAAACCTTCCCAAAGACCGGGTGCAAGTTGCTCTTGATCACTTCTGTCCTGTCCAGCTGTGAGGGAACACACTGAATGAGACTCTGCACGCTTCTATCATATCTATTTAAATGTTCCAATATTCCTTATCATTATATGTGTCATTAAAGCAACGGCTGACTGCAGGGAAACAAGGTTTTTCTTTCTTTTCTTGCATTTTACAGGATAAGTCAGGAATATATAACTTGCAGCATATTCGACTTCCCGCTTTTTTTTCTTTTTTAAAATGGAAAACCAACGTATATGGAAGCAAATGTTATTATGTTCCGTCAAGGGGATGATATGAGAGACGATTGGAGGACTCTGACATTTAATCTCAGCGTTAAAGGAAACATCCACGCTTGTCTTTGACTGCCTGACAAGGAAAAGCTGAGCTCTCCGAGGCCCCATCTGCTCGTGATGTAGGATTTAGCTCTGACACAGCTCCATGAACATTTCTATGCTGCCCAATTTGTCACAAGGACAAATCATCATTGAGCATGATATTTAAGTCTACGGAGCTTTATATCATTAAATAATGACACAAAAAAGGTAAACACACGCAGCCAAAAATAAATAACAATCCAGACTGCAGTATTTGTGGAGACATGCTGTATTTTTGTTGATGTTTCGTGTACGGTTGGGAGTTAATCTACGAAGACTGTGTGCCACAAGAAAGGGACAAAAAGGCCCATTGAGGGGGCATCATCTGGAGCTGATCTATTGCCAGCAAATGAGCGCCTGAGAGGACTTTGAGTGGTCATCCAAAGCGCAGCCACACACTTCAGCACCCTTTTGTCCGGAGTCCAAAGTCATTTCTTCACTGTCAGTGGAGCAGGACCAGATCTCGTGTCATGATGACTTTAGAAATTGGTGACAGCGCTTTCTTGTCTCTCATTTCTCGCTTTGGTAGAGATAGAGTCTCGATCAGATAAAGGCCTGAGCCGGGCTTCCCATTATGCTAAAACAACGGAGCGGTTCAAACGAGAGGCGCCATTTCTGCACCATACACGAAAAATATTATGCAGCTAATCTACAAATGAAAGAACAAAGATGGAGCATGTATCTTAGCAGATGTTGGTGCACCGGCAGCTCCTCGTCGTAGGTTATCTGGGCCTTTTCAACTGGGCTGGGATGAACAGCATTTCACCAAAAGATTGTGCACCATTTTGTGTTTTGAGGATTGAATTTATTCCAGAATATCAGGAGGCAAAAGTACATTTTTTCCTATGCAAGCAGCTACTTTATGCCTGCTGAATCTCTTGAAGACTTTTATGAATTTTTATGAATAACATCCCAAATTGAATGCTGATACGTAGGAGTAGTATCTTACATAAGTTCTTCTCTTGCACTCTGCGGTATATTAACGCAGTGAATGACGGCTTTTCTTTACCACGTCAAGGTCTGCGCGGAGCTGTGGCGCTCTCCTTGAACAAAAGCATCATTTTACAACACTTCATTCACTTCGTCTCTTTTTGCAGATGCCTTTGGACAGATGTGTCGAAGTCAACGGCCATTTTTAGCAGCGCCGAGTGTTGCCAAGTATGTTTGGCACCACCGGTGACTGTGAAAGTTACACAACATGACCGATATTATTGTCCTCCCCATTCAGCGGATGGGGGCGTCGCCGTTCCACAAGAAGCCATTCACATTGTGGTTGGATTGTTTCATTGTGGGAAAAAAAAAAGGGTGATGAGTCAGAAAAACTTTGCAGTGAGCCCTCCCTCTGAAGGGGAACAAAACAGCAAGATGCCTCCCACCTGTATGGAAGCATCTGCTCACTGCAACCCGTCTGCAAACTGCACCGTAAAGCCTGAAATGTCAAATTTCTCAGCGCTTGTTTCGTGCATTTCACTGGTTTTCTATCAGTTTGCGTGCTAAAGAAGGCCACGTGTCCAAAACATCTGGGGATTTTTGGTGTTAAGCATTCATCAATCATCATTTTAGTCTAAATAAATAGACTTTTTGTCACAGCTGTAAATAACTAATCAAAGTAGTTTTCAACAATAATAATCAAAACACAGGGAGCAGTGGTTGTTCTGGAGTTTCTATCATACACAGGCAAACAATACAACAAAAAAACTACCAGCTAAGACTTGGCCTCGTCAGCCTCATTTACCCCGGTTTCTCTTCCTTGCCTTGTCTTCCTCTCATCGTGCCATCTGGATGGACAGATTTGGGATGAGTCTGTTTGTTGATGAAAGCTAATCAGAGCTACGTAGGATAGGTTTGTGCTGAAGTCTGTGACGCCTGTTTATTGTTGGTGTGGGGCCAGAACTATAAAGAGGATCCCTGACATGGGAGATTAATTTGTGAAATCACTTCCTCCAGGTGGGATGAGCATTATCCACGTAGCTTTATCATAACAAGCCCGTGCGGCTTATGGTTGGATATCGACGGAGAGATCAGGCTGGGAATTAACTCATTACCACCGGAGCACGTGGGGTCCAGTCTACTCAGAAGGAAGACAAATGGTGGAGACTATCTTCGCCCCACTTCTAAATTTGTCTTCAGGAGCGAACAGGTGACGAAATGGGGGGATAATGAAATAAGTTCAATTAGCACTTGCAAGTCACAGGGGCCATCCACAATGAGCTCAGAAAAGAGACAGATATGGCGGGGATATGAGTGGGCTCTGCTTCTTACTCAGCCGTTGACGTAAGTAGACAATTTGTACGAGGAGTGGTTCCTCCCAACGCCGAGGGATCTGACTGTCAGAGCTGTCAAGGCTGGGGATGAATTGATGGATAGATAGATGTTATATTGCACCGTGTGTCATAATCTGCGTTATTTGGTATCATATGAGTTTGCTTCAGTTACCGTTTCTAAAAATAGGCGCTTATACGTTCATCACGCGACGCTGCTGCTGAACCCGGGTCAGTCATCTCACGTTAACAACCTCCTATCAAATTAAAACCAAGAAAGAAAGAAGAAAAAAACCTCCACAGCCCCCGTCAGCAGCAAAGTGCTTTTAATCATCCTAAAAATAGCAATCTCAAGGTTCTCCATTCGTATAGCCCAAACAGCACAGTGAGCATCTTCAACAAATGGCTCCCATGTGGCAGAAAACTGGCAGAGTTACAGTTAATTATTATCTCCCATTTCTCTGAAAAGGGAGCTTTTTTTTTGTTCGATGGAGGGTTGGGAGACGAGGGGGGGGGAGAAGGAAAAAAAAATCGATATAATTAGATGTCCTCTGCCACACTTTAACACATCCTCTACTTAATAGAGACCTGTGTTTTGGCTTTCCCTCGTGAACTAAATGACTTAATTAACAGGGAAATGAGAGACCTGGTGTCTACACTCCAAATCAGCTTGGGACCAATCCAAGAAAGTACACATTTGCAGCTGGAACACAACCCATCGTGCTGCTGTTTGTAGGCAAAGTGAAATACACATAACGTGAGTCCTACAGGGCGGGCAACGCAATCTGTTTGCTAAATTATCGAATTGTGGAGACAAGACAAATGTTGACTGCGAACGTATACTCCATTTTCTAATTCCGAGCCAGACAGCTGTTGTGTAAGCCGGGATCGCTTCCAAACAGCTGCAAGTTCACCTAACCATTAACAGATTTATCTCCCTGGTTGATCTTGTATGACTACACAGATTTTGGAATAACTGGAGTGAGAACAGAGCATCAAGCCCAATCTATAGCATTTCACACATCGCCAGGGTTTAATCCTGAAAATCTGAACCTTGCCAAGAAGTTGTAATAAAGAAAAAGGGGAGCAGCTATATTCAGAGTCTCTCTGTGCAATTATTTAACCATTAAGAAAACATGTTGCGCGGATCACCTCGAGGTGCCGCGTTTGAGTAATTTGAGCTTTATTCATGTTCGAGTCAAGGCACATGAAATATTGGGCTTAATGATTCAGATGAATAAAAGATGTTTGATTGATTTCTAAAGGCTGCATATAGAACTGCTGGCTGAGGAGCTATCAGGCACACTTTTATCCCCCTCCCCAAAGGCTCGACTGTACATTTGTGAGAAGAATGAAGAAGAAGAAGAAGAAGAAGAAGAAGAAGAAGAAGAAGAAGAAGAAGAAGGGGGGCCTCACCTCTGTCCACTGTCCATTGGTCTGCACCATGAGTATGACACAGGGGTCCGACTTGTTCAGCGTGTCTCGGTCCAGCAGAGACTTGCAGGACACACGCAGCTCTACTTTGCAGACGCAGGCGGCCGGACCGCTGAGGCTGGTCGCAGGGGAGGTGGCCTCCAGAACGTCATTCATCCTGGCTCAGGGCAAAGAGGAGAGCTGCCAACCAGCAAACAAAAAAAAAAGAAAGCAGTGCGGTGCGAGGCTCGTTGGTGCAGCTCCGAGGGATGGAAAAATCCACTTGGGTCGGTCGGGCTGGATCTCAGTAAAGACGTGGCACTCTCACAGGAGATGGGCCCTTTTGACTTGGTACAGATGTCACAAAAACAGAGATTTTTGTTGAGTCCCAGAGGACCAAACCAAACCCAAGCTGTTATCACTGGCTGTCAGAGCTTCCCCCCCTCCACAGCAGACAGGACATGAAGGTGGCAGGGCTTTTTTTTGCTTCTGAAAAGATGCATTTAAGGCAATCAAACTGGTACTACCTCTTTTTTTTGAAGGATGGATAACAATGCTGTCTGCAACAAATGAATGCAAAATCACAGGCATTGTCTGTGTTGCTGCCTTGCTGTTGTTTTCATCTTGTTTCCAGGACAGAAAACACATATCGTGGATTAAAAGAGCATTTTTCCTTTCTCATTCTCTCAATCAACAATGGGGAAACTAGTCAAAGTGGTCTTTATAGCCCAGATAATAACACAAAAACCCAAGAAGTGATGGAGTTCCAGCTCCAGTGTGGGCAGTATCCGCCCTGCTGAAGTGTCCTTGAGCACTGCTTTTTTAAAACAAAGAATGAAGGTTGGATTTCTCTGCCCAGCATCTCGTGTGTGTGTGTTTTTCACTGTAAGGAGGCAAATAAACAAGCACGTTTGTGCCTCAGCACCAGGGACAGCGCCCCGCGGTTCTGCGCTCCAGATGTGGAGCCACATGTTACCCAACAGCGTTCATGTCAAACTTCACTTTAAAGAAAAGCTGGAAATGCAAACATCTTAAGAGGCAAAAACTTGTTAAAAAAGCAGCTAAAGCAACACGTACGAGCCGATTCAACTTTATGAAGACTCGCTCCTGAACGTTTAGCGAACGATCCGTCACCATAAATCACGTCTGTCGTCTTGAAAGCAGCACTTACCCTAAGCACCTCTCTAATAATCGCACTTAAAACGAACACTTTGACAACATCATCTGTCACTGACGGACCTCACTCACTTCCAATAAGAGAATCTACAGCATCAAGCACTTTATCCCTCCTTTAAAACCAACCAACAGCGCTCACAATCAAGTTTAAGAAGAAGAAAAACAACATCTCCACTTCCTACCTGTCGTTGTTCTTCACTCTTGAACACACTTGTTTAATCCGCTCCCATAACACACTGCTTGATTTCTCTCCCTCTCTCTCTCTCTTTCTCTTTCCTCCGTCTAAACTCATTGGTTCAGACTGGTGAGGAGGGAGTCGGCTCGGCTCGATGCTGGGGAGGTGGGAGTGGAGAGAGTCCAGCTGCTGAGGGAAGGATGGGCTTTACGCAGGGACGCGATTATTTTGGAGTTGGAGTAGGGGTGGGAAAGGAGGCTCCAGAGAGGCTGCAGAAGCTGCCACCTGACAGCTTACAAAAGAAAAAAGAAAAGAAAAAACCTGACATAGATGTGAAGAATGTGCACAAAAGAAGATTTAAACTGTGCGTAAATCAGCATTAAAAAAAAATGCATTAAACTGGATGGAAATGCATAAATATAAATATCTCGATCTGTAAGTGGCATGCAAGCGTTTAAATATAGATTTAGAAGGATATGTCACTCAGATTCTTCTCCAGCATCAGCATACTGTAATAATATGTCACAGTGCTTATGCCCACTCTGTGGTGTGGCAGCCGACCAGCTCATCAGTGAAGTGTTTACCAGGAAAAAACAGAAAAAAGAAAAAGTCAGAATGTGAAGGAGCAGGATGAAAAATCACAACTATGTCAAAATCTAAAAGAGGAAAGCTGCTCAATAAATAGAAAATCTGCATCTGTGCACAATGACAGGATGACAAATCTGCATTTGGAGGCTGGTGGAGAAGCAGTCCATGACAAAGAGTGCACATCAGATCGAGGACACTTCTCTCTGTTATTTACTGGACCTTCTTTCAGCAGGAAGTCTAAAATGAGATGCATGTGAAAACAAAAGGGGAAATCAGACGCCTGCATCCTCACAGTCAGATCCATATTTGCAGGTTTGGCCTGACCTCGATGCCAATGAAGCATGTGAGACGTTTCACAGCAGGACAAGGAGCTCAAACAGACGGATCTCCCAGCAGCAGCAGCAGCAGCAGCATCACAATCAAACCTCCACGTGGGAGCTCCAGACAGCAGAGGACCTTGATTAAATTCACACACGCACCCACATGTTGTACTGTATATGCTATACGTGGGCACGTATACATGCAGATACTTTCGCCTCATGTCACTGAACTGGTCCATCGTGTAGATTTTCAATCACTTGACAGCTATGTACGTTACATAATGTATTGTTTCCACACAGCGTTCACGCTTGAACCTTTTTGCAGTCCACCCACAAATGTATTATTTTCATGAATGTATTTCCAGACATTGCATAACATTTATAGATCGCGCTGACAAAACAGCAGCTCTCCCGAGTTTCTGCAAAACTGAATTGAAGGCCGTAGAAGACAAAAAGGAAAACAGACCGAAATTACCGGGGAAATTTGGTTTCATCAAAACACAATGTAAAACAGAAAATCAAAGCTTCAGTTTTGACTGTTCCAAAGTGCCTTGTGGGGACGGCTCTTAGTTACACTGCTCTTTGTCCTTAATAGAAATGTGTAGGCACGCAATTTCACTCCGGAAGGTTTTTAAATCTCATAAATCTGAAATGTCCTTCAGACAAAAAGAATGTTTTTTTTCTTCTTTTTCATTTGCAGCGTTACAACTTTGGTTTCAAGAGGATGTGGCTGATTCTGTGAAAGGCTTTCAAAAGAAGAAAAAAAAAGAAAACAGTCTGGCAGGTCAATCAAATTATTCCAACAGCATGAAAAAGAATACATTTGTCTGCCTGCTTTTTAATTATCTGCTCTGTTGAACTGACAAACACACCCAAAACACAGACATGTCACACAAACTTCCCCTCGCAGGTTGATAGTATTGTTTTATCTTTAAGCAAAAGGAAGCCAAAAAAACAAAATCCATATCTTGACCTGCACACAGCGTGTTTAACAAGCTAACTCGCTTGCTTTCTGGCATCACCTAAAGTCCTCCTGCAGCTTTCACCCTCACTGCCTCCTTCTTCTTTCATGGGTATTGAGGGTTGGTAGGAAGCGTCTGCTGTGGGGCACACACCTGAGCCCTGTTACGCCACAGCTCCAAACAACGGCCATCTGCTGCTGCTGCTGCTGCTGCTGCTGCTGTTGTGTCTTTTCAGCACCTCACAGGACGTTCCATGCGTTTACACATGGATTATCTAGTCAAAGTCCCCCCGCTGCTCGTCCCCAGTCACTGCTGACCACGCCGCATGTACAACAGCCCAAATAGGAGGGTCTCTCCACATGGTCTGATGCACTCACATTTTCAGTCTGCCTAACTCGGGCGCATTGGTGGACGCGTCATCATCCACAGTTTTCCACCAGCAGCTCCCTCGAGTGGAGGTATTTTTGTCCGTAGGTAGGTTCTTGGAAATTTTCAAACACGCTATTGATTCCTGAAGTCTTTCTTCTTGATGACGGCGGCTGCAGCATCCCTGTTAATGATAATCAATCACAGAGCTTGTGTTTCAGCAGGCCTCTACTGTAGGAGCTGCAAGTATCTCCAAGAGTCTCCTCTGTCATCACCGCTATGTTTGGCTTACTGACCCAGAAATCCTGTGGTCAGAAAGGTCTCAGTTTCCTTTTTACAAGGCAAACAGAATCCATACATCAGAGCAGGATGCCCGGCCTGGTTGGCTGTAGCTGGACTGACCTGGAGGAGATTCTGTTAATATCAGCAAAAGAAGCAGAAATGCACGTCAGCACAGAAACAGATGAATACTGATCATGCAAAACGCTCACATTCAGCTCTCCTGATTATAAAACATTAACACTGTGTGAGTCTTGAATGTACAGTTTTCTTCTAAACAGCACAAAATATGACAATCCAACAACAAAAGGCAGCAGATTCCCGTGTTGGCACATTAAGCTGGAGCCAGACAACCGCTTTAAAATAAATAAATGTTTAATCTTTAAAGTTGAAATCATTTTCTGTCCATCCAATAAACAATTGACTTTTTGTTTTATGATATTGACGAAACAATCTTCTTCTCATTTAGGAAAGCCAAACATCTGCATCATTAGGTGCTTAATGCGGTGCTGCAAGACACAAAATCAACATCAGTGGTTAATAAAAGTGTCCAGATCTTGGCTAGATGGTTGCGTACTCAGCTACGTACTGGAGGTATGATAATTACATTATAATCACATTTAGGATAGCTGTTAGTGTTTTTAATTCCCTATGTTAAGGAAAATAAGGAATCATCCATTTGGGTTTCAGGTCCCCTTGTCCAAATCAACTTAACTGTCCACTCACCTTCATTAACTGAATTATTTATGGACATTCAGGCTGCTGGGACACTCAGAGACACTCAAGGAGACGCACACAAGGACACTCACCCCCGTCCTTGTTCTCAGCCTGTGTACGTTGACACGGTGAACTTGGACATTTTCTAGTTTGTAATGCATTAGAAACAGGCAGTGAAGGGGAGCTCCTGTATTGCTTTGTTTACCTTTTATTTACTCCTCATCAGAACAGCCGACGTGAGCACCTTTGCTGTAAGAGCACGGCTTCATATTAACAGTCCGCTTTTGTTCATGTCTGGCAGCGTATAACCTTTCCACGAACATTAAAATTCAACTTTGCACCTCTGCAGGTGTGCAGTCTAAAACTGTCCCCCTTGGATGAGTTCTCTTCCTTCTTACTGTCCACCTCTCCTGACCTTCCTCTGCCTCGGGCCTTCCTGTTGACCTCCACCTCTACCACCTGCGTGTTGACATGCTGGAGGCAGCGTACAGGTGTTCTGGTATTCAGTCAGGTTTGTCCAGTGACCTCCATGACTTGGACTCTGCTTACTACTTTTTTTCAGTTTGATAAACAAAGATAACACCATCGGCATTA